AGTCAAATGTTGGGCCAGTGAGATAGCTCAGCAGTTCAAAATGCCTACTTAGGCAAGCTTAAGCAAGTGCAGGGGACCATGGTTCGACGTCAACACCAAATGCAGTGTCAGCCCCTCCCTCAGAGTGGGCTGAGTCAGCCTCCTCCAAACAATAATATCAAATGCTAAAAATAAAGTTTATGGGAAGGGAGAGAGCTCAGTGCTCTAAGTGCCCACCTGGTTAGCTCATGTACCCAGGTTTGACCTCTGGTACCTCATGTCCTATGGGCGCCAGAACCCCAGGTGTGCCATGCTGGCCAATGAAACTGGGTGTGGTTGCACATGCCAGTAATTCCAGCATTGGGGAGGCTGAGATAGGAGAATCACTGCAAGTCTGAGCTGCAAAGTGAGACCCTGCACCAAATGCATAAATAAACAAAATATGATTTTGCTTTTTAAAAACTAAGTTTATCAAGTAAACAGTAATATATGTGCATTTAGAAAACAAATATAAATATAAATTTAATTTATGATTTATGATTTTTAAGTTTATTCAGTGCATTCGAAATGTACCATGTTTATAAGTCCAAAGACAGTGGTGGTGAATCTATGCCACACCCACTGCAGCAAGCTATTTGTTATTATTGAAAGCTCTATAAAGTTCACCACCACTGTCGTAGGACTTCACGTTCCCTCTTCACACTCTCCTTGACTTGCCCAGAGCAAATTCCAGCCCTGCAAGTTCCATTGTTGGTGATTCCCTTATACAAATGAACCATTTTCATTATATATATATTATATTTCATATATATATTCATGATTTCCTATACATTTTCTATGCTTAGACACACAAATGCTTACCACTGTGATGCAATTGTCCACAATGTTCAGCACAATACAGTGCTTCACAGATTCGTAGGCTGTACCATGCAGCCTGGATGCATAGTGGGGCACATCATTTGCACTCTGTGGTACTCAGAAAATGATGAAATCTCCCAGGCACACACTTCTCAGAACTGTATCCCCCTCACTAATCAATGCATGGCTGTACTTAATTTCTGGTTCTTCTTCAAAACTGATATATTTCAGATGTACACTATTCCCCCAAAGCCTCATGAGCTCAGTCGACGGGCCTTGTGGAAGGCATGTGGATCATGGGACATTACATAGTAGGTTGATCCACTAAGGAATTCAGAGGCTGAGCATGCTTCTGGCAGGTAGAGACTGCTCAGTCAGGGCACTGGGGCTTGAACTGGAAGGGTTTCTCCCTCCCTGGCTACACCCTTCTCTCTCTTGTTCTTGGCTGGAGCACTATAACCAACTTTGCATCTGCCATCCCCTCTACTATCCTGTTTCCATGTTGGAACCAGATAATCCTTGTAACTCTGTTCATAGCACTGCAATTTGTCATAGCTAAATCTTGGAAACAACCCAAATGCCCATCAACTGAGGAATGGACAAAAAAGATGTGATATTTTAACACAGTCAAGTATTACTCCGCTATAAAGAAACATAAACCCAAGAATTTAAATGGTAAATGGATGCAACTAGAGACCATACTCATAAGTGAAATAAATTAGACCCACATATGCAAATATCACATTATTTTGTTAGTGTAAGAATCTGAAAGAATAAATAAATGTGAAAGGTACAATAGGCACTGTGAAAGGGAAAGAATCTGTTCAAAGGGAAGGAAAACAGGGATGAGGAAAAGGATAAGAGAGAGAAGAGGAAAGAGATATATTTATGTATGTGTGCAGGATGGCTTGGAAAGTTGTACTGCTGATTTCTGCTCTTCTACAAAGGGGAGCAGTTGCTGCTTAATTTTTTCCTGTCCTTTTCAATTTCCTGTAAATTTTTAAAGATTTATGTATTTCGTACAAGGTCTCACTATGCAGCTTGGACTCATAGTGATCCTCCTGTTCCAGCCTCCTCAGCACTATATTTGCAAGCCTGTGCCACTATGCCCTATTTCCATGGTCTGCTTGGCTGTTTCCAGGTAGGAACAGCATGGCATATGGTACTGGGGATCAAACCTGGGTCCTTAAGCTTTCTCTAGGCTACAGAGTTATCTCATGGGCCCTCTTATAACATGTTCTCTTCTTTGTTTCTTTCTTTAACAGCTTTTTTATGCTTATATCTGGTAATCTGAACAACTAATTTGAAGAGAACATTATGCAATATAGCAACCATTGCCAAAGTCCTATTGATTTGTTTGGTGAAATTCTGTATCTTCCTAATGCTTATAGTTTGTTTGTTTCAGTATTTTATATTCTCTTTGGATAATAATAATTAGGGCTGGGGAGATAGCTCAGCAGTCTAAGCACCTGCCTGGCAAACTCGAGGAACTGAAGGATCTTGGTTCAACTCCCAGTGCTGCATGAATAGCCAGCCCCAGGTGCCGAGCAAGCCTCAGAAACTGAGGATGATGGTGTATACCTGTAATCCCAGTCCAGGAAAGTCTGAGACAGGAGGATCACTATGAGTCCAAGCTGAGTATCAAGACCCTGTACCAAATAAATAAATCAATAAATAATAATTTAATAATAACTTTAAAAAACATCTCTTGCTTTAAGTCATGTGTGTTAAGTTCTGTTCCCCATCAGTGAAGAAAGTGATTAGAGTCAATTTTGGTCACAATAAAGTGGGATTTTTTTGTTGTAACTATATTTAAACATGGCTTAGAAACCTTTGGAACTTGCAAGCTGCAAGAGTTGAAAGAAGTTTGGAGGCTTGAGCTTGAGAACCCCGGGAAGCTGTGAAGAGTACTTACTATGTGATACTGGCTAGAGTTCAGAAGACAAGATGAAGACTGATAGAGTTGAAGCATGACAGAAACCCAAATAGTAATGGCCAGGGTCAGAAGGTTTCAGTTGGGAACAAGAACTCCATTAGAAGTTATATTTGAAACCAGAGTGCTGTACTCTTGCAGAAAATTTGTGCACATTTTGCTCATGTCTAGCCTTATTGCAGGACACCTACTGCTAGTCTTAAACATGATGTAAGTAAAATTGTCTTGTGTTGTCCAGTATGGACTCTGTTAACTAAGATTATTTTTTATGATTCCTGAGAAAGTCCTTGAATAACATATTTTAAATGAGGTTTTTTTTGCAGGTCAGTGGATGCAACTAGAGATCATACTGTTAAGTGAAATAAATCAGACCTGCATGTGCAAACATTATATAGTTTCCTTAGTGTGAGAACCTGAAAGAGAAAAACAAAATATGAAGTGTACCAATATACATTGGTAAAAGGAAATGAACTTATTCAAAGGAAAAGAGTTACTGAGTTGAGTGGGAGGACAGAAGAGGGAGTGGGAAAAGAGATTTATCTATGTATATAAACAGGTTGGTTTGGACAACTGTACTGTGCATTTCAGCTTGTCTACAGAAAGTATTTCAACACTTTAATATGTTTGTCTCTTTTTTTAATACCTTTTCTCTATTTAATTTCTTATACATTTCTTTATTTTTTTCTTTCTTCTTCCAATTTCACATGCATACATGTGGTAATCTCAATAACTATTTGGAAGACAACAGTATGTATTACAACAGACTGTGAAATTCATATTAATTTTTTAAGTAGAAATCTATATCACTTGCATTATTTTTTGTTTTAATTCTAATTTGGACTCTTTAAAAATATACTTGTGTATGTATTTCAAGGATTAAGAAATATACAATGGGGAGCAACCCGCTCAGGCCCCCTCTCCTGTCCCTCTCTTGGATAGGAGCTTTCTTTCGCTCAATAAATATATTCTGCTCAAAAAAAAAAAAGAAATATACAATGACAGAACATGGTCTCAACACGACTTACAATCATTTGAGATACAAAAATATGGATACTGATAAAACATTTATTAGTATCTGCTATTACTATTAATGAAGTAAGATGTTATATTGCACCCTCTATAAGTGTTTCTCTTACATTTCATTTTCCAGTGAATTCAATAATTTTATCTTTAGTAATTTATAATGTATGAGGCAAAATTAATGCACTTTGTCTCATTTGAGTTTCAAATGACTGACTTATAAATCTCAAGCAGATGATATTTATGATAATAATTAACAAAACATGAATAGCTAATATCAGGGTTTGTAGTAGAAGTGGCCAAGTTATAAAGATTAATTTAGCAAATACATTTGTTGGCCTTTGAATGAAAGCAGGTTCTCTTTTGTCTAAGAGAACTCATATTTATATTGAGCCAAACATTAAATTATTTTTATGTATTTATACACATATTTTTTGTTTTGTTATTCATCTCCTAAACCTCTGAATTAACCATATACATATCTCCTGCAAAGTAAATCACAATTTCTTAAAGTGTCTTGAATTTAGACAACTTAGGGCTTCTGTTCTTCCTGATTTCTGAGATGGCAACATGCATGACAGGATACTAGGTTTGACTTCAAATTCAACAGTTCTAGGTTTTTAACTATAAGTGAATATTTATTTAATCACTTAGGTGTTTTAAGCTATTCATTTGTGTCCTTTTTCATAGTAATGTGCTTCATGCAGGGACACTAATTAATGAAAACTGACAGACTTGTTGGAAAGCCCAAGTACACACAACCAAAGTACTTGGTATTGAATCCTAACTTGATGACTATCAATCAAGTTGTTGGAAAAAGTTTGGGCTTTATCACCTTGAAATGAGAATGGAATTTAATGGAGGAAGACGGAGGGGATGGCACTTTCCTTCTTAATACTTTTGTGTCCTGCTTTATAAACTGCAGATCACAACTGCCCCGTTGTTCAGTGAACAACAGGAAATTCCACATAAATTACTGCTCACATTATGCTTTGCTCTGATTGAATTTCTTTGTATTATTCTGTGCTATTTTCAGGGTCTATTCTTAATGTTATTTTGTGGCAGAGATCCACATTTATTTAGGCCTCTATTGTTAGAATATAAAACAGGTTATGTTAGGACATTGCCTGGTACTTCAGTGAGTACAAAGTAGTATCTGATGTTGGTTGAATAAGACAGAAACAGCTTTTGCTTCCGGATCGCTGCCATCATGGGTCACATACATGGTCCCGGGAAGGTCCTGTGCCGGTTGGCTCTGCCATATTCCAGCAGTGTCCCCACCTGGCTGAATGTGACATCTAATGATGTGAAGGGCCAAATTTACAACCTGGCCAGGAAGGGCCTGACTCCCTCACAAATCGGTGTGACCCTGAGAGACTCTCACAGTGTTGCACAAGTATGTTTTGTGATAGGTAATAAAATCTTGAGAATCCTTAAGTCTAAAGGACTTGTTCCTGATGTCTCTGAGGATCTCTGCCACTTAACTAAGAAAGCAGTTGCTGTTCGAAAGCATCTGGAGAGGAAGAGAAAGGATAAATATACCCACTTCCTTGTGATCCTCATTGAGAGGCGAATTCACTGATTGGCTCTATCCTATAAGACCAAGTGGGTTCTCCTCCCCAACTGGAAATATGAGTCATACACAGCCTCTGCCCTCATTGCATAAATTTATGTACTGAAGCAAGCAGGAAAACATTCTTCAAAATCGGTATAGGTTGTGTCATGATTTGTGTTTAGTCTTTCACCAAAGCCTCATAATCATGAGGAGGCCTTCTGGAGTTTGTGATTAACTCATGACCCTTGGAGATTATGGGTGTGAGCGCTACACCCATCCTGGAGCAGATATCCTGAATGCAACTTAAGGGAGACAGCCTGACAGACTTGCTCTCTGATGCCATGGTTGCTGATCCTCTCTCTTCGTGCTCTCTGCTCTTTGCCGCTGCCATGAAAGGTCACTCTCTGCCATGTGCTGCTCTACCTTGGAGCCCACCGAGTATGGACTGAAACCTTCAGTACCTGGGAGATAAATAAATCTTTCCTTCCTGAATTCTGGGTGTCAGGTATTTGTTCACACAGCAATGTGAGAACAGTAACGGAGACAGATTGAAAGAAACTGGCTTGCTAGGCAGGAAAATTCCAGCAAGCTTAGGTGCATTTTCATAGGGGCAAAGAACAAAGATGGTAATTTAATAGTGCAGAAAATATTTTCTTATCTATCACATATGACAAAACCATAGCCTTGAACTAACCATGATGAAGTGAATGATAAGATTGAAGTAGGATACACAGGCCAGATGCAGGAACTGAAATTTAAGCTAAGTCTCTTCTTAGGAGTAGTTTTATCTGCTATCACAATATGTGTCAAAATTTCAGTAAATCTGGGAATGAAAAGTAAATAAACCTCTCATCAAGAATTTCAGTTTAATTCATTATTTAGGCAGTTGCACAGACTTTTGTGTAAAGCAAAGTAAATAACTAATTCAAAAAAAGTAATAGACATTATGGAAGCTATAAAAGCCAAACCAAAAAATACCTTATTCATAATGAAGACGTTCCAGGTCAGGAGAAGGAATGTGCTCAGGTACCAGAAGTATTTTACTCTTGGCTGAGCAGAAAGAAAAAAGTAATCCATACCAAAAGTAAGGCTGATAGAATAGGCAAACTGAAGGTTGAAAGGATATAGTTTTTATATT